AGTACTTTTCATATGCTTTTGAACACAGTATTATAAAAAACAGTGGCTACTGTAACTATTTCTAATTTCAAAATAATTCAATAGTTATGTCTCCTACTTATTAGAAAAGCATCTAAGATCAGTGGTTACCATCGTCTGAGGGTGGGGGAAGAGTAAGACTGCAAAAGAGCCCATGGGAGTGTTTTGAGGTGATGGAACCTTTCTATATCTTGATTGTGGTGGTGGTTATACGACTGTATGCGTCTATCAAAACTCATAGAGCTGGACACTAACAAGACTGAATTTTACTTGTTATAAGTTATCTCAATTTAAAAGTACCTAAGTATTCAATGCAATCTAGGACTTAAAATACAACTTCACATTTTTAGACTAAGCACTTGAATTAAGGGATTCAGCTACTTGTAAAACATGGGATGCCATCTGAACAATTAACCCAATTAACTGGATTAGATTGAATGACGTGATGAAATGAAGTCTCAGAAAATGAAAGTGATGAGTGATGTTTTTATTTACTAGATTACTTAATATACCAAATATGATAGTGGCATATTTCCTAAAAATCCAGTAATGGGTCTTTGAAAATAATCTAAAATGTGTAACAGTATAGTCTCAGTAAGCTAAGAAAACAGAAAAAATCTAATGATGAGTTAGTCCATGATGCATTTATCTTCTCAAGGTTATTTATAAAAGGTTCTATAAGACTGCTCACACTCTGAGCTTCCACACTGTTTCCATAACCAAGGAGTTCTTAAGAGTATAGATCCATGCATCAATTCTGGCAGAATATGCAGTTTTACAACAATTTCTTACTCAACACCATATTTACTAAACAGATGGTGTTCCAAAGAAGCAGTTTAAAATGAGAAACATAATTCTGGTCAACCTACAGTGCATATGTCTTGCACCTCAGTGATAATGCCCTTTCTATGCTGCTCACCGTTTATCACACTTAGGCCATAATTTCTCCCTCTGATTTCAGGATCCCCACCCAAGAGGAAAATCAAGATTGCAATGAAGACAAGAGCTAAGGAATAGGTTCAGAGCTCATGAGCTCAATACTTTAATGTTGTTAAGTGTCATCCTGTCGTTCTGATTCATAGTGACCCTGTATAGGCGTTCCAAGGAGCAGCTGGTGGGTTTGAACCACCAACTTTGCGGTTAGCAGTCCAGTGCTAATCTTATAGGACCACCCCCAGACTCCTACTTGTTAAGTGCCATCAATTCGGTTACAGCTCATAGCGATCCTATATAGGGTTTCCGAAGAGCAGCTGGTGAGTTTGAACAGCCGACCTTGCAGTTCAAAGTGACCGTACAGTCAAGTGTTTATCCTACAGTGTCACACCAGGACTCCAGGACTCCAACCTTATAAATGCTAGCCTCTATTCCTTAGCAAGTTTGCTCTCTGCTATTCCTGAATTATCATTTTGCTTACTATATTTGGTGGAGTGCTTCTTGGTGGTGGTGGTGTTGTGGTGTGTGACCCTATATAGGGTTTCTGAGAGCAGCTGTTGAGTTGGAAACACCAACCTTGTGGTTCGCAGTCAAGTACTTATACTACAGCACCATATTGGGTTGAATAATGACCGCCCCAGAATTCATGTCTATCTAAAATCTGTGATTATGATCTTATTTAGAAACAGTCTTTGTAGATGTAATCAAGGTGAAATGGGGTCATACCAAAGTAAGAAGGTCCCTGACACAATGACAAGTGAAATTTCTCATAAGAGTGAAATTTAGACACAGACACACAAGAACTCTAGGTGACAAGAGAGACATTAGAGTAACGCATCTATAAACCAAGGAACCCCAAGAATTTCTTGCAGTACCAGAAACTGAGAGGCAAAGAGTAATTCTCCCTTACAGTCTTCAGAGAGACAGCATGGTTCCAGCCTGTTCCAACAATTTAATTTCAGACTTCTGTCCTCAAGAACTGTGAGAATACATGTCTGTGCTTTAAACTACTCAACTTTGGTAATTGTTAAAAGAGCCCTGGGAAACAATATACCTACTACTCTATTCCCAGGCAGACCACCTAACAGCATTCATTCCTTACATTTTAAAAAAAGAGCAAAAGGAAACGAAAGAAAGAAGTCGATTGCTTTTCACTCTCCAGCAGCTTTAACTTCTGCTAAGCTTTCTATAATTTATTTTAGACAAAAGTTGCTAAGTAACGACCCTGCCACATTTGCTGTTCATTTATTTATTTCATTAACTATTGCCTTGAGGCTATAAATTACATCTTAAAAATTGTTGTTGCTGTTAAGTGCAGTCAAGTCAGTACTGACCCATAGCGACCCTGTATAAGGTTTTCCAAGGAGTAGCTGGCGAGCTTGAACTGCCAACCTTGTGGTTCAAATCAACTTTTCAGTCTAGCGCTTTAACCCACAGCGCCACACCAGGACAATCTTGATTTGTCAAGATACCAATTCAAGAGGAAATAACAAATACTAATACATAGTATACCTACTTTCTTATGAATCACATAATCTTGGGTTTTCTCAATTTGAAACTTTTAAAAGGTGATTAGGAAGCACATGTTGAAAATCAAGGCAAGGAAAAAGAATCAATTAAGTTAATCTTGATGATGGTGGTGGCACACCGTGAGTCAGTTCCGACTCATAACAACTCTGCACAGGGTTTCCAAGGCTGTAAATCTTTACAAGAGCAGAAAGCCTCATTTTTCTCCTGCAGAATAGCTGGTAGTTTTGAGCTGCAGCCCAAATTGTAAACGCTATGCTACCAGAGCTCCTTAAGTTGTCGTTGTTAAGTGCCATCAAGTCAGTTCCAACCCATAGCGAACCTGTATAGGGTTTCCTAGGAGCGGCTGGTAAGCTTGAATCACTGACCTTGTGGTTCAAACCAACTTTGCAGTTCAACGCATTAACCTACAATGCCACACCAGGACTCCAAGTTATCATAGGAGATACAAAACAATAAACAAGATATGGAATTGGCAAATCCAAAACCTCCTGTTTTAGCAATTAATAAAACTTGAAAGAGAAAACTTGTACTTTCTTGACATTCCTTCTTTTCTTTATTTAGTCAGTAAGCAAATATCTATTCAGCCCCTGCTAAATTCTTCGCACTGAGTATTTAGGAATATAGTAGTGACCTCCAATAGAAAGAAGAAAAATGAGAAAACAAGGTTTCAGAATTCAATGAAAGGATCAATGTCATTTCTAAAACAAGTCACTTCTGAACAATAAATCATGTTCCCATGTTCTTCTAAAGTAATCACTGAAAAAAATTATATCTACTGACAAGTTCTCAATCCTGTGTATCAGAAATATTGATAAATCATCTTTCTTTTGAATCTCCCATGAATGTCATTAAAATAGATGTTGTGACTAAATAGTTATACTTATTAATTCCATGATAGATACCAAAGACTAAGCCCTCAAAAGATACATGTTTATCTTGGGAGAGGAAGCTATATCTAGTAAGACAGTGTCTTCTCTGGTGCCATAAATTTCATTAATTTAACACCACAATGCAAAATCACCAGAAATAATTGATATCCAACAAAAACAATAATGACAAGTAACTCTTGTCAATGGTATTGATTATCATACAAAGTTGAGACCAACTTCCATGGAAACATAAGTCACAGAGTAAAAGACAATATGAGTCAGTAAAAGATACGTATGCAACAAAAATACATTTTACTTTTATTAGTCTATAAATAAATGTGTTGTATGTAGTTAATACATTTAATATTTAAGACCTTCATTCATTTGTGTACTTGCCCAGACATAAACTGTGCAAACATATGACAAATTGAACAGCAGCTTCACAACTGTCTGTTACAGAGTATAGCAAGGTGGTATATTTCACTAGGTCACTGAAAAAGTTGCTAACACCATCAGACATTTTACAGTACTTGGAAGATTTCTTCTAGATCCAGCTAAATTTCAAATATCATCAAGTACCAATTCTCTTCACAGTGGTATATTCTGCCCTCTCTCTCATGGGTTATCAGCCACAGGAAGTATGGGTGCAGCCTTGTCTATGTGCTTTACTGCTCAAGGTCCTAGTAACCCTTTGATTTTCAGAAAGCAACGTTTCCATATTTGCTTCACACAAGTTGAATGAGCCAGTTTTGCTTAAGGCACTGCTCTTCTTAGCTCATCAACTATTTTTCACTTCATGTCAAGTGAAATATTTTTACATTGCAGACCAAAATGTAACATAAAAATGAAACCACAACAAACTCAGGAGTTCCTAATATTCTTCAGTTTAAAATGCACGCAAACAATCGCTGGCTTTCTTCTGCTACATAACATGATGTAAAAGATAAGAAAAGCGAACGAACTGCCCCAAAGAACTTACATACAAGAATTGGAGGCCTGCCTACTGCAGCAAGGAAAAGATTAAACCGTGCAGGACTATAATTTCTCAGTGATTTTGAGTCTAAGAAAACAGAAATCTGCATTTATGGTCAGAAACCTACTTCATTTCTCCATATGTCTGAGTGAGTATAGATTATGTACCCTCAAAGCAAAACCATTTGCCAAAGTCAATTATATCTACAGATCAAAAAAAAACAAAAAACAAAAAACCATTGCCATGGAGTCCTATGAAATAATCTGTATTCGCCTCTTTGAAATAAAGAAAATATGTCTCCACATAACAGTCAACTGTCCTTAAAATAGGAAACCTCTCAAGGAAGTCTGTTACCAACCTAAGATACCAAAGAAGAGTATGCCCTGCCCAGGCAGATACAGGCCATAATTCCAGGCCAATCTTGTAAGAGGTGACAGCCCAAGTTCAACTGGGGATGCCTGTACACAGCTCCCTTTGCACCTTAGGAATCACCTCTCCTTTTTTTCCAAATGCCATTTGCAACCAATTCGTGCTCAAATACCCAAAGCACCAGAACACCAGTGGCTCCTGCTAGCAGTGGGCTCCCTCGACATCTCCCTCTTTACACCCTTTCCACCTACAGAAACAGACCCCAAGGACGGTTGGGGGTGGGCTTTGAGCGCCCTTCTTCCACCTACCTTGATGATGCTGCTCCGGCGGGGCAGGCCTCCTGGCTTGCTCTCCCGGGGGAGGGGGCCAGCGGCCGGACTGGGGGTCAGGGCGATCGCAGTGCCGTGTGGTCCCTTGGCGGGGCTGGCTCTGGCTTCGTCCCCAGACACGCTGAGGCTGCAGTCTCCGTTAGAAACCCCGCCGCTGTCATAGCGCGCCCGCCCGTGGCCGAGGCGACCTCCCCCGCCGCCGCCGCCGCCTTCCCCGGCTGTGGCTTTCAGAGAACCCTTGGTGCCGAGGGCCGGGCTCGGGGAGGTGGGTAGGGCCCCGCCGGCGGTGCCCCCCCGGCCGCACTCCGCCATGGGCGCCCCGCGACCCGCCAGCACAAAGCCGCGTCCCCGCGTCCCCGCCGCCGCCTCGGGCCGCCGCGCGGCCCCTCCTCCTCTCCTCCTCCTCCCGCCGCCTCGGCCGCTTCTTCCGCTTTTTTTTTTTTTTTTTTTTTTAATTTAGATGTGATGTTTGTTTCGAGCTCGCCTCGCGCACAGTTAAAGTGGTGGTGACAGAATTATCGGAAGATTCCTGCAAGAGAAAGAAGAGAGACACAAGTCAGCTCCCGCGGCGGCGGAGCCCCGCTCCAGGCACCTGGGGAAGGAAAACACGCCCTGACACACGCGCCGCCGCGGGCGCCAAAAATAACCCGCGCGGGCCGAGCGCCCACCCGGGGTAAAGGAGCGCCCACTTCAGGGGCTCAAGGTTCCCACCCCGAGGTAACATGACCTCCACATCAGAGGCTGGGGCACTCTTCCAGGGGGCTCAGGCTAACCACTGTGGGGTTCGGAGCACCCACAGCGCGAGAACCGGCTACCTTCCCTAAGGGATCGGGGCACCTACTCTGGGCACCGGGCGCCCACCTCGGGCGCCCGGCCAAGGGGAAGCAGCGTTCTCTCAGACGCTATCCGGCCACACGGAGGCGCCTCCCGAGGGTCACGCGGCCCCGGGCGGACGGGAGGGAGGCGGCGCGGGGATTGCTTCGGACCCCAACTCTTGGGAGGCCGCCAGGAGCCCGGGCCCTCTTCGCTTTTCACCCCAACCTCCAGGACCCGCTGAGGCCCACGGCGCCGGGTGTAAGCGCGCGCGGCGGGCAGGGTCGGCTTGGCTGTCCCAGACACGGGTGCGACCCAGGGGACAGCTCCTCGAGGGGGCAGTCCGGACCCACCCGCCTCCGCCTCCACCTCCGCCTCGCTGCTGTCTCTACCGCCGGGGCTCGGCGCTGCCCCCTACAGGTCGCGGGGACCCTTCCCCCCACAGCCCCCGACCCACCGCCAGCCTCCAGAGCTCCTGCTGGAGGTCTCGGTTGCTCTCATCGAGGCCCCGTCTTCGGGCCACGGGGATCACGGTACTGAGGATGGCAACGGGCGGCAGCTGCAGGTTCTAAATACACCCCTGCCGGTGGCTCTGTCGCAACTGTCAATCACCGGCTCGGCGCCGGGAGGCACAAGGACCGCACAGGCCACGGGCTGGAGCTCAGGTCCCGGTCTAGGGGGCTCAGCCTCTGTGCCTCCCGCTTCTCCCCACCCCGCGCGGAGAATTCGTACCCTTCCCACCCAGTTCGGGAAAATGCCATCCGGACGTTCCCCTTTGGGCTGCCCCTGCCAGTCACACCTGGTTCACATATTAAAGCCAATTGCGTTTCCTTGGGCTTCTGAACCGTGAGTTGATTGAACAAGTTGCAAGGAAGATATTGTTGTTAAGTGCCATGGAGTCTGTTCCAACTCATAGCGACCCTATATAGGGTTTCCGAGGAATGGCTGGTGAGTTTGAACCGCCGACCTTGCAGTTCAAATCGACTTTGCAGTCCAGCGCATGGTGGTGGTGGTGGTGGTGATGTGCCATGCAAGTCTGGCCTGTGCCTTTAGTTGCCCCACAGTGCCTGCCTGATGGTCCACCCAATATGGGCTTGGCCCTGAGTCAGACTCATCTTCAGGGTTTCCTCTCTCTCTCTCTCTCTCTCTCTCTCTTGCTCCTCCTTCTCCCATAGCACTCTCCAGGCCTAATTACTGCCCTAAAACTCAGCTCTGATTATGTTGCTCTCATACATAAAGATTAACTTCCCACCTGACAGGACACAAACTCCACATCGCGGCTCCCTAGGGCGCACTCTGCCTAGTCCCACCACCCATTCATGATCCCTGGGCTCTAGCTGCCCTTCTTTTGCACCCCACACCCCTGATCCAACTTATGTGTTTCCTTTTCTGAGAATGCACACCAGGACAGATGCAAAGGAGAAGCTGATCCTCTTGGGGATGAACTTGAAGACCTTATTTTCATTAGCACGATGTAGTAAACTGCCAAGTAGCCTCGAAGCCACACCCTCCATTGCCCCTGAAAACAACGTCAAACACCTTCAAGTTATTCTTGGGGAAGTTTTAATTCTTCTGACTCTCTGGAATCATGTTTTTGTAACCTATTTCCACAAGCTTTTATCTATCTCTTGCCAACCTGGACCTACACACCAAAAGAAATATTTTCACATCGACAGACAACAATGTCAATATTTTATTCTGTCCCATCCCTTTTCTACCTTTCTTCTCTAATTTTGTTGCAATATATTAGTTTCAAAATAATACTCTTGTGATAGATTTGCTGAAAAGATATATACAAATAATTCAAATTAGATTCTTAATCTATCTTACTGAATTTAAAACAATCATAATAGATTATGAGTGTGCTGTGGAGGAAGGAAAAAAATGCTTTTGAGTCTTTATTGTAAAAGTTCTCAAACTCTGATATTTGGGGTAAATGCCTCCAAGTAGCTCTGCCCTTTCAACATTAGTTTCTAACTTTTTCCTCCACATTGACCAATCAGTAAAATGCTAGGAAGAACCATTGATTCTACAATGATTACAAAGGATTTACAGGGTAGCATATTGGGATTTGAATCTCCAAGATGCTTTTTATAAAGCCACCATCTCACTCCCCTAATGCCCTCCAAAATGAACACCTATCCATCTCACTCTGGATTCCCAATAGGTCAAACCAGGGAGACTTCGTTGAAATAGACTTGGCATTTAAATTAAAATGTTTCCCAAAGCATCTTGGCAGACCTGTAACTAATGATGCCAGAAGCCCAAGACCTGTGCCAGATTTCTTTTTATCCCCTTAAGTGCTTGTCTCCCACAAGCCGTTGGTCACATGCCTGCTGATGTTGTAGCTGTACTTCTTCATCACACAAACAGCCAAACCGTAGGTACCATTTCTTCAATATGGAGAGGGGAAGCAGCATGTTCCTCTGATATGTGTGCTTTTCAGCTTCCAATAGGCTTTCTTATAGCTAAGCTCAGATTTTATTTTTAATCATGAATAGCATGGTAAGCAATTGTTTCTTTTTTTTTTCCTGCCTGTCTCTCTGCAGTTACTAAGTGATTGCTTTCCATTTGTCCTATTCCATGAGCAGTGTTATTGAAGAAATTGTAAATATTTAGCCAAAATTCTTGCTAAAGTGTTTTCATGGCATTATAAAATTCATAGAAGTTAGAGTTAGAAAAAGATCCAAAATAGCATAGTCATTCCTCAGCAAATACTGTCTAATGTTGTTGGGTGACATCGAGTCAATTTTGACTCATAGTGAAATTATACAAAACAGAACACTCCCCATTCCGCACCGTCATCACAATTCTTAGCTTTAAGCCCATTGCTGCTGCCACTAAGTCAATCCATCTCACTGGGGGTTTTCTTTGTTTTCGCTAACCCTCCCTGATAACATATCTGAAGTATGAAAGAATATGAGCTACTTGATTAACAGTTTGTCATACTGTGGTGGTTTTCATGTTGCTGTGATGCTGGAATCTGTACCACTGGTATTGTAGATGCCTATTGGGTCACAAATGGTGCACAGGTTTCAGTGGAGCTTCTGGACTAAAACCAGAAAGAAGGAGAGACAGACTACTGCTGAATGTTTTGCTACAGAAACTCTTATGAATAACAGCAGGACATTGCAATATATACTACCAGAATATGAAAACATTATGAATAGCAGAACAGTGTCAGATATAGTCCGGGAAGATGAGGACCCCAAATCGGAAGGTAGAGTCGACCTTCATGACACAAATGAGATAAACTATGTTGTTGTTATTGGTAAGTGCTGTAGACTCATAGCGACCCTGTAGAGGGCTTCCTAGGAGCAGCTGGTGAGATTGAATCACCTGCCTTGTGGTTAGCAGTCCAGTGCTTACCCTACAGTGTCACACCAGGAGTCCAGAGTAAAGCTTTAAGGACCTTCATTTGCTGATGGGGCACATCTCAAAGTCAGGAGAAACAGCTGCAAACATCCCTTAATAATTGGGAATGTATGCAGTATGAGTCTAGGAAAACTGGAAATTGTCAAAATTGAAATGGAACACACAAAGGTCGATATACCAGGCATTAGTGAGCTGAAACGGACGAATTGGTCATTTTGAATCTGACAATCATAAGGTTACTATACCAGAAATGACAAATTGTAGAGGAATGGCATCACATTCATCGTCAAAAAGAACATTTCAAGATCTGTCATGAAGTACAAGCTGTCGGTGATAGGATAAAATCCATACACCTACAAGGAAGACCAGTTAACACCACAATTCAAATTTACACACCAACCACTAATGATAAAAACTGAAGAATTCAACCAACTTCTTCAGTCTGAAAGTGATCAAACATGCACTCAAGACGCATCGATAATTACTCATGATTGGAATGCAAAAGCTGAAAATAAAGGCAAGATCAGTAGTGGAAAAATATGACCTTGGTGAAAGAAATGATGTTGGAGATCACATGATAGAAATTTACTAGACCAATAAGATATTCATTGCAGTACCCTTTTTGAAAACAACATAAAACGTAACTATGCACATGAACAATCAAATTGACTACATCTGTGGGAAGAGACGGTAAGAGAGCTCAATAGAATCAGCCAAAACAATCCAGGGACAGACTGTGAAACACACCATCAATTGTTCATATGCAAGTTCAGACTGAAACTGAAGAAAAGTAAAACAAGTCCATGAGAGCAAAACTAAGACCTTGAATAACCTACTTGAATTTAGAAACAATTTCAAGAACAGATTTGATGCATTAGACACTAATGATTCAAGACCAGAAGATCAAGAGGATGGCATCAAGAATATCATACAGGAAGACGGCAAAAGATCATTAAGAAGGAAAAGACCAAGATGGATGGATGCCAGAAGAGACACTGAAACTTACTTTTGAGTGTAGAGAAGCTAATGCACAAGAAAGAAATGAGTAGGTAAAAGATCTGAACAGAAAATTTCAAAGGGCAGCTGGAGAAGACAAACCAAAGTATTTATAATATAATGTGCAAAAACCTCGAGTTAGAAAACCAAAAGGGAAGCACATGCTCAGAATTTCTCAAGCTGAAAAAAAGA